GTGCCCAGGTGGCAGGCACCACTTGAGATAACTAGTAGAGGTCCCCTCTGGTGCACAGATGGCGCCACTTTAGATAACTACCCTGTGACCTCATCACCACGCTCCTCACTCCACACAAGACTGAGGTCTGATTAAGGATGGAGAAGAGCTATGTAGTGCTGTGCATCATCTGTCTGCCCATTCCTCTCCATAAATTACTCTGAACAGAACTCTGTGTAAATGGTATGGAATGGCTTCCTTCGTTGTTCAGCATTAAAGCGTCTTCTCAATCTGGAGGGTACATTAGTGACTCTAACAGCGATTGCAGATGGACATTGGAGTTGGCAATATCAAGGTCACCTCTGCCTTTCACAAGAGGAGTTCTAGTGAAGTTGAAAGTTTGGTTGGAGTTAGTGTAATAGAGAATGGGAGAAGAGGAATCGGAGGAAGTGAGTATAGATGAGGTTTTCAAGAAATTTATGGCAGAGGAGTAAGGAAGCGGCCACTAGTATTTTCTGCCTCTCTGCCTAGCTCCAGGCGGGATCCCTCACATTTTATAAAAGAGTGGTTTATATATATATATAACTATTCAGGCAGAGCTGATTTCTATGAGGTCAGTATGTGCCATCAGCATAGAAATTTGAAACCAGATGAGACCATCGGTTATTTCAGTAATCTCTCACCCAATAAAGGAACCTTCTTTTTTAATATTAATACAAAACCGTTTTTTTTTTTTCCTCTGCCACCTAGGGATCCAGAGATGAATAAGGCACAGCTCCTGCTCTTAAGAAACATGTTTTTTAGTGGGAGGAGGGAGGCACGTATGCTTCCTGTGTGATAAATATTAAGATAGAGGCACATACCAACTCTTGTGAAAGTACAGGGCAAAGAGAACTAACTTACCTGGGGAAGTTAGGAAAGAGGATATGCATGAAAACCTGACACTTAAACTAGACCTTAAAGGTGAGCGTGATGTTTTCCAGCCAGAGTGCTGGGGAGAATCTCTTTATCAAATAATGATCCAGCTCCTGTTCAAATGCTTATAGCAACAGAGAGCTCACTGCCTTATGAGTTTCATTCCATTCTAAATAGCTCTAATTGTTGCACACCTGTTTCTTCTACTGAATCGAATAATGAGGTTTAATATATCTACTCATTAGTCCCAGCGTTCTCCTCTGGAACTAATGGGCAGAAACTTGTCTTTCTAACATATAGGCCATGTCAGTGTTTGAAAATAGATATCATGTTTTCTTTTAAGACCGTGTCTTTTCCGTTGTGAAAAAGGGAACTGAATAGTCTCAGGTTGGGTTCCCTGAGAAGCGGACCCTGAGACCCAGGTGAACATACAGGAGGTATTAGGGAGTGTTCTTGAGCTCATCGCCGTGAAAAGAGAAGATTGGGCAGGAGTGGGCAGAGGGAGAAGGAAAGGTGTGATGCCGTTCTAATGGAAGCTCCAGCCAACCCTGTGGGAAGTTCTGAAAATCGACTGATCCTTCTGCGGCGTCTAGAGTCGGGGCAAGAGGACAAGGTCTTTCTACTCCATGACCAGCAGTCATTCAGGGCAGTTTATCCTGGAAAGGGGGCATGACTTTGGGCAAGGTGGTTCTCTCCAGCTGATACAATTCCCAAAGTGGTCTGACAGCTAAAATCTATTGCCAGGGGCATTAGCAGCAGCTTCAGTAGTTAATCCTTCATTTCAGAAGTGGGTCTGTAGGGGATCTGGGGGATGCAAAAGAGGAATCTCACACACTGATAACTCTATTTTGGGGACCGATAATAGAATGAAAAAGGACATGTTTTTGTTTCTTATTAGCAAATAAATACCATGAACATCAAAGTGATGGGGGGTTCAAAATAATGGTTCTAGACAGATGGGGTCTACTGTACAATTCTATCTTCCCTGTGTTAATTATCTCAGTCATGGTGGCCCTTTATACACGAATGCTTTACACAGATGCTCAAAAGGCAAGGTGAAGAAGTACATTCATGCAATAAATGTGACTGGGAATCTTCATTAGGAGATAAAAATGTAAGTGGGGAAGCGTAGTGAGCTGCAAACTGAATTATATCCCTGTCCTTCATCCTAGAAGATGACGCTTCTTGTGGTGATCACAGTGCATGCTGGGTGCCTGCAAAGATGGATGCGTGGCCACCAGTCCTTTCCACTCCATGCACACATGAAGATTGCTCTTTGATTTGTGTCTTTGGCCATAATTTGCATAAGCCTGTCACTGCCTGCAACTTATAGTTAGCCCAAAGCTTTGTTGAGAAAGAGCTGTCCCATTCCCGACTGCTGTATACCAGATTGATATGTCCACTAAATCAGTAACACTGGACCGCTCATTATACCAGAAAACATTTGCCCAAGCTATAACTCTGTCTCCTGATTTCTGTTTGGCTTCATTAACCTCTTCTTGATGCCACAGATAAAATGGTCCTGTAAGGCATCCTTTATTTAATGAAGGATTGGCAAGATAAAAGTTGAACGGGGCATCCATGGGAGAGAGGAGTCAGAAAGGATGATTGTGGAGGATGGTAGAATTAGGTAAGAGGAGGGTATAGTGGGGGTGAGCTGGAGCCACATTAGTTTTTCTCTCTTCTTACTTTCACCTTCTGTTATTGGGTTTCTTTACATAGTAGCTGGCGGTTTCTTTAGGAGCTCATTTATAATTGTGAGAAGGTTTTAAGAGAAGACCAAGAGAAGAGGGTAGGGTTGGTATGTACTAGATTGGTTTTCTTTTAAATTTATTTTCATTAGCATGGGCTCATTTACTATGGACCCACATGGATTATTTCTCAGGGCCATCTCTCCCTGTGTATTTGAACCAGCTGTGGTCTCGCAATAGATGGAGAGTTGTGCGTATTCAAGAACCTCCTTGTGATGAGATATGTTCCCTTATCATAGAATGGGTTAAATTCCTTTGTTTACAATTGGAATTCCTTTCACCCTTAGCCTGTACATTTTAAGGTATATTCAGAAGCTTTTGTCACTTTGTTACATCCACTAGGTTTTGCGAAAACTCAAGTGGAAAAAGGGAATTTGGGGAATCCTCCAATGAAACATTGTTTGGAAGTAACAGGAAAACAAATAGCTTTTCCTCTAAAGCCTTTCAGGATGGGTGGTTCTGTCACTGACCTTCCTTTCCTGTTGTGGTTCTCTGTAGACCCCTGACAAGTCTTGGAATAATTAAACTTTGTTGTCCTGGAATCCCACTATAATCCTATAACCTAAGGACAAAGCCCGCATTACCTGAAGAATAGTACTTGTGTTGTAGTAGGAGACCAGGGGCAGGTGGGTCAGGGGGCAGGGGCTGGCCGCAGTTTGGAATAAGCACACACGAAGTCCTTATTTTATTCTGAATGAATTCGTACTCCTCCCCACCCGTTCTTCCTGCCCTACACGCTCTACCTCTCTGAATTGCCTGGTCCTATGAGACTCCTCTCTGACCGTATGTTTAAGCCAGAGGAGGGAGCTATGCTAAGCACCATTTTACCCCTAGCAGAAAGAATTGCCCTCAAATGACTAAGGGGACTGGTCACAGTCTAAGGTGACAGTCATTCCCCTGTTTCCTTCTGGATTGCCTGTGGGAAATGTGCAAAGTTCAAGCCACATGAAGCAATCATCGCTCTGGCAGAGCCAAAGGGCTGGTGGCTTTCATTGACGAATCAGGGTCTCTGGATACCAGCTGGGTATTTCCCAACCTGTATTTTTTTCAATAGTGGGTACCCCCCAAACACTCAGCAATTTCTCGGCTGTACAAGAATATGTTCCTGAACTAAGAAATCGCTGTATAATTTTGTTTAAAAGACTGGTCTCTTGTGACTGTACTTTGAAGCTCTAGTCTGGGGGATAGAAAAGAACTGCCCCCTTTAGAAAGACACAATTTTGTTCACCTGGATTGTTCTAAAATGGGGATGAACCATCGGATAAAAGATAGGGGCACTGACAAGAAAAGAGATGCCATTACCCAGGAGGAAGTCAGGGGAAAATGGATTGAGAAAGAAGGACAAGGCCAAGAGGGTCTTCATCTTATTGTTTCAGATTCTTCTAGCTGGAAGGCAGAGATAAAATGCAGGGCTTGACATGTCAGAACAGCAGGTGAAATACAGCTTAAAGTGGAAGAAATTTAAAATGGCTTCTCCCTCAAAAGGAGGGGAGAAAACATAAGATTCTCAGAATTGACGGAAGGTTATGTGTATAATACACAGGTCAGACAGAGACCTGTGGCATTAGACAGGTAGGAGGAAGAATAATCTTCTATGTGCCGCTCTAAAATAAACTCTAATCCTACACGAGCTTGAATCCAAGACCTTCCAACTTGTGGCTTAGATACACTGTTTGCGCCTTACTCTAACTTGCGTTATCTCATTATCACAGTGGAAAATGGAAAACTCAACGTGCTGTTAATTCAACAGTTATCTCTATGGAAAATATACTGACCCAATCTTCTGCCCCCATGTGCTTCTCCCTGATATCTGTACCTGAGTACCACCCCCCTGCTAGGCCGGTGTTCTTATACCGCCTCTGCCCATGGGTTTAAGCATAGATGGATGGTATTCCCATTTATTCACTCTGAGTGATATACATCCACAGTTGTGATGAGTTCAAAAGGCTCAAAAAATGAAAAGTGTGCGTATCCCTAGAACTCATTTGACAGTGAAAGCTGACCCAAACTGATGTGAGGCCATTTAGAGTCTTTATCTCCCTTAAGGCGACTCTTTATGTGTTTCCTGATAGAAATATTCACATATTTGATTGTGGGAAGCTTCCCTGTGCTCCAAGGATTTCAGACAATGCGAATATAGACCTATGTTGATTTCCCCCCTAGAATCTAGGAGGTAGTTTTAGGAAGAAAGGTGTTAGAAATGTGTGCAATTCAAACACCCCATTTTAAAAGGCATGTGAAAAAGTAAACAATGAACATAAACCTTTGTATCCAATTGATTCAAGCTCTCCCTTACCATCTTTGGTTTCTTTCTTTTTTCTTTTTTTTTTTTTTTTTACCTTTTTACTATTCTAGGATGAATCCTCCATGTTCTTCCAGTTTGGCCCATCAATTGAACAGCAAGCTTCTGTAATGCTCAATATCATGGAAGAGTATGACTGGTACATCTTTTCTATCGTCACCACCTACTTCCCCGGCTACCAGGACTTTGTAAACAAGATTCGCAGCACCATTGAGAACAGCTTCGTGGGCTGGGAGTTAGAGGAAGTCCTCCTGCTGGACATGTCCCTGGATGATGGAGATTCTAAGATCCAGAACCAGCTTAAGAAGCTTCAAAGCCCCATCATTCTTCTTTATTGTACTAAGGAAGAAGCCACCTACATCTTTGAAGTCGCTAACTCCGTAGGGCTGACTGGCTATGGCTACACATGGATTGTGCCTAGTCTGGTGGCAGGGGATACAGACACGGTGCCCTCGGAGTTCCCCACCGGGCTCATCTCTGTGTCCTACGATGAATGGGACTATGGCCTCCCTGCCAGGGTGAGGGATGGGATTGCCATAATCACCACCGCCGCTTCTGACATGCTGTCTGAGCACAGCTTCATCCCAGAGCCCAAGAGCAGTTGTTACAACACCCATGAGAAGAGAATCTACCAGTCCAACATGCTAAATAGGTGAGTGTGGGACAGAGGGCGCCCTGATGGCAGAGGTCAGGGGAGGGCCTTTCAGGACCAGGGGTTGGAGGTTCGGAAGCACTGGGAAAAGCAGTTCAAGACGCCAGAAGTTGAAGGCCAGCCACGGGGATGGCAGTTGTTGGTGATGGCGGGAGTGTTTCAGGTCCAAAGCTTGCTGTGCTGGGTTCCTGTTCTAAGAAAGACACAACATCTCCCGCTTATTGATCACTTCCTAAGCTCTAGGTGTTACTCAAAGGTCTTGCAGGTTTGACCTCATTTAACCTGCAAAGCAGTACTCTTATTAGGCAGGTGTTAAAGAGTTGCTTCTATTTTATGATCCAAGAGAATAAGGTTTGTAGGTGTAAACTGTCCACAGTCAGTCTCCAGGGAAGAGGTTCAGTCTGGAGTTGTGGCCAGGCCTCTGCGGGCCCCTACATATTTGACCGCCATTAAATACACAATGGGCATTGACACGAGAGAGGACCTACCAGTCCCTTTACTTAGGACTGCTGCTGTACTGGGGGGGAATGGACAATAGGTCACATGGGTCTGGAGGCACATGAAGAGGGTCCTTCCCTTGGTTTTTGTCTCCTTCCCTTCTCTCTGCCTTTTAAGTGTGAGAGTGCTGCCATAGAAGCAACTTCTATAGTTGCTCTCAGTCTGATTTCTTCAGTAGGAAGAAGACATGGGTGGAGTTCTGCTCCCCTGGCCTCACCTCATAATCCAGCCGTGACTCCAGCGTATCCTCTTGCGGGTGTTACGTGACCGTGTAGGGCAGAAGAGCCTCTACGAGGTTCTGTGATTTGTAGAAAACCACCACACGTGAACGCTGTAAAAATTCAGACCACGCACAAGACCACAAAGAAGAAGGAAAAGAGAAAAATGGCCTTAAAGCCAGGGAACCAGAGATAGTCACTGTGGAAATAATTAGTGAACATCTTTCTAGCTATTTCCCGACGCATGTAGACCTATATGCGTATAAGTCTACAATTTTACCTAAATGGAAACATAATTGTACCTGCTGTTCAATAACCTGACTTTCTTTGACTCGACAGTATGTTTGGGGCCTCAATTTTAAATTCATTATGAATTATATCTGACAAATAGAAAGCTATGCAAAAAGCACATACTCCAGTACCATCCAGCTTAAATAAAATATCAAAGTGCACTCTGGGGAGGTTGAAATACAATTAGTGGAGGTTGAAGGTGTACCTGCTTATACTTGTTTAACCTCTGGAAGGGAGTTGGACTAAAGCCTCTCGACTAAGCTCTTAGTTTAGAGTTGCAACTAAAGCTACTTTTTTTTTAAAGGTTTATTTATTTTAGAACGAGTGAGCACGAGTAGGGGGAGGGACAGCGGGAGAGTGAGAATCCTCAAGCAGACTCCCCACCAAGCACAGAGCCTGATCCCAGGACCCTGAGATCCTTACCTGAGCCAAAATCAAGAGTCAGATGCCACCGAGGCGCCCCCTAAAGTTCCTTTTAATGTAGCTTTATCTGTAATCCAGTCCTAATATTATCCCCCCTTGAACTCTGCTTTCGGCAGAGCCTAGTTTTCACTGCTTGTTTGGTACGGTCTTGGTTTTCTTCCTCCCTCTCTAGTCATTCTATCTCGAAGTCCTTGGTGTGTCTTCTTCCTTCAGACCTCTCTTAAATATTGGCATTACTCAGGGTTTTGTCCTAGACCCCCCTCTTTTGCCCTCCATTGCCAGGGCTACAGCTGACGTCTGTAAGTTCCCCCAAATTGACCTCTGGTTGAAACCTCTCCGGTGAGCCCCAGTCTGTATCACCAGCTGTGACTAGATAGGTTCCTCTAGTCCACAGGGCCTTAGAACACACCATAGCTCTCCCGTTCCCGTCCTACCCTCTTCTGGACAAATCAGTACCACCTGTAAAGGCTATATCCTATTACCCAGTTCCCTCACGTAAAAATTGCCCAGGGGTCCTTGCTTTCACACCCCCCTGCCATCTCCTCGCTGACCATCTCCTAGTGCCGTTTCCCACGGATTTCCTCTGGAGTGTGCTTACCGGCTGCCTCCCTGTTCCGTGTCCCTGGTCCGCTCTTCCTACCTGCATTGCTGCACGGGCTCGTAAATATCTTCTGGCTCCCTGTACTGCTTCCTTCCAATCTACACTGTAGCCAGAGTGATCTAAAATGAAAATGTGATTTCATCACTCTCCTGCTTAATGCCTTTCAGTGGCTTTTCATTGCTCCTGTAATGAAGTCCCATCTCCTTGATGTGGTTTCTAAAATCATCCACTGCCTAGGCCCGCCTGTCTTTCCAAGACTGTCTCCTGACACACTCTCCCTTGAACACTGTATTCTTGCAATACTGCACCTGCTTTAGTTCTTTGAAAATACCATGTTCTTTCTCGCTTTTAGCTCTTTTCTCTGCCTTGAATATATTCCTCCAGCAGCCCCTTCCCACCAGTAAGTAAATGCAGATGCTCCTTCACCTGCCTCCTTTCCATTCCTCAGGCTTCCGCCCTGGCCTCACTTCCACGGAGGAAGCTTTCCTGGACCCTGGACTAACGCAGCCCTGTTACGTGCCTTCGCCGCATCTTATGTTTTCCCAGTAAAGCCACTCTTGAGACAGTTGTAATTCTGCACTTTGTTATCGCTTGTCCCTGTAAGTTCTGGGAAAGCGGTGACCTCTCTGTCCTACGTATTTCCATGTCTCCCCCCTCCCCCCCCCCGCCCCAGTGCTCTGTGTGGCAAAGGGAAGGAAGACACCTAGAGTGAATGAATGACGTCCTCCAAGATACTGAGCTGCCCAGGGCATTTACCTCCCCTGCAGGAGCTTTCTTGTTCTGCTCCTCTTTGCAAGATAATAGAGATTTCCTTGAAAAACTGTTTATTTGGTTCTGTACATTCAGGTTTTCTCCTATGGTCATTAGTGTTAAATTAAAATCTGATGCAGATTACTCTACCAAATATTGGTTCTTGAAAACCAAAACTAACCAAAATGTCTGCCAAACAATGCGAGGAAATCAAATGAGTGTTAACTTCAAGTCCATCAGTTTTGGTCCAGGAATGCCTGTTTTTATCCTTAAAACTTTGTCCAGGTAAACCGTCATCTATAGTAGCTATTCTCATTTGCCACTTGGCTTACTTTCCATTAGAATGCAAGTGTTCTTCTCTCTGAAGCCTGGTCTCTGACCACTATATCTTTAAAACCGCGCTTGGTTCTAACTTTTGTGACCCTGTCTTGTGGCCACTCAGAAAGGGAGCCCTCCTCAGACGTTATTGTCAAGATGGCCACAAATACCCACGGCCATCGTAGCCAGTGTGGCAGTCCTAAAAAGAACAGGGATTACCCAGTCCAGATGATTCATAAATTCCTTGAGTCTACCAGGGTAGAGCAGAAAGTCCACTTCGATTCCCATGTATACTGCATAAGAAGTGTCTTCAGACTTATCAGAGCACTTTTCCATGAAGGGCTTTCCTCGCTGAACTTTCTCTTCTGCCCCAGTTCCCTGATATTATTTTTGGGGGGGGGGGTTCTGTATCTAACTGCCTTGAGACCTCCTCTCTTGGCTGTCTGCACACCTGCATCCCTCATGCGCCCCCATCTTTTCCTTCCCTCCTCTCAAGCGCAGCTCCTCCGGGCTCTTGAGTCCAATCTCTAGCCTCTCTTGAGAATATTTGAATATCCTTTTCTATCAAGGCCGAGAAAGGATTGGGGTTGACTAATAGGGACTATAAGGAGCTAGTCTCAAAGTCTGAGCTATGACCATGTGGCACAGCACTCCGAATCATCAGTGGAATTCAATTAGGCTCAACTCAGTCCCAGCTCCTCCTGCTTACCCTGGTCTGAAATCGGCCTCTTCCTCTTCTTCAACCGCCCCCCCCACCCCACCCCCGTCCCCCGTTCAAGAGCTCTGGTCTCACTAGGGTCACTCTTTTAAATAACAAACCAAGCAGCCACACCATTTAGCCACAGCGGGAGATCTTTGCAAACAAAATTGTTGCAAACGGTTGGTTGTTTTATGAGGATGACTTTTTCTTTGGCCCTCTGCTCTCTGCAACAGCCTCCTCAGGAGGTATCTGGGACTGACCCAGCCCCAGGTAACACCAGAAATATAGTCAGGAAACGTTTCTCCTCTTCCTTTCTGAAAACGCAGGAACGTTAACAGGCCCTGTCGTCTCCGGAAGCATTGTAAGGGGGAAGTAAAGTTCCCACTTACACCTGACCAAACTATGCCTTTCTTTCTGTTTAAGTCTAGACTTAGGGAACAGGGATTGGAGACTCTATGTTATCACTGAATCCCATAGACAGACACACATTTGAAGTGACTCACTTGTTGGTTACCAAAGGAAGATTTTTTTTTTCTTAAATGACACAAAAGCATTCTCAGAGAGGATCCTTGAAATTAACATTATTTATCAGGTATCAATCCAAATTCCCTACTGGTAACTTCTTAGCTCCTTGAAGCTTGGCCAGCCAGATATGGTTTTGGTGACTATCTCTAAATAGGCTCTAGGTTGCTGGACAAGACTGGCAAGGTTGCAAGAAATATATAAAAACCCAATTAAATTGGAATTTTAGATAAACCATAACTAATTCTCTTAGCATAAATCTGTCCCAAATATTGCATGGGGCATATGATATGAAAAGAAAACTTGTTTATCTGAAATTCAGATTTAACAGGGCTCCCATTTTGTTTTGCTTGTGTTAAATGTGACAACCCTATTTTGTACACTAATAAGAATTAATTTTCAGTTGGAACTTTGTAGCATTCGTTTATGCCTTATTAGTAAATGTAGCCCAGTGCCCCATACTGTTGCCCAAGACATGCTGAGATAGAGTTTTATTCCAACTGGGAACTTTATTGGATTGAAAGAGTTGAATAATTTCTTCTGTCATGTGTTCTCTAAGTGAAGGATCTTCTTAGTTCCTGAGAAAAGTCTTAACGTTTTGGTAGCAGACGATCTGAAAGTGTTTAGAAAGTGATTAGGCCAGTCGTCTAAACCTGTCTTTATTCCCCTGAGCTAGAGA